GTCGCGTGCCCCTCAAAGCACCTCTTTGGCGCTCGGCATGACGTCGTGTTGGTGTTGAATGCAGTGTACTTGCGTCAGGGCTAGCCAGAGGCTCATAGACACAGTCTTTGCCATACGTCTTACAATTAGCACACGTAGGCTGTTCGTTATTGCACTTGATCTGGAAGGCGATTAGACATCTCTACGGCGCTGCGAAGTTGAGAGTGACGAACTTTGCGCCGTCGGCAGAACGAGCATGCTTCGACGGCCCGCCTTCGGGGACGTCCGGAAGCCGTGGTGGCATTACCTGATTTCGGACCCATAGTGAGATGAGCGGGAATTGAGGAGTAAAGCAGTATCCGTGGATGGCTTGCTGGTGGACTCGAGAATGTTTGCTCCGGGGTGCTGTGGTTTTGGAAGAAAGCGAGCACGGGAAGCTTGCCGCGGGAAGAAGGTGACCTTGGAGTTACCAAGTCTGGACGGGCCGCGGGCTCGGGAAGGATTCTAATTGGCCGGGCTGGAGCATCGGCAGCCGTCTGCAAGTCCGTCTTCTTCCCGCGGGATCTCCAGAGTCGCCCTTGTCAAGAATGAACGAGGAGTCGGGAGGATCACAATCTGTGAGTGCGTTTTGTTTGAGTAACCAGAGTCATCTGGTGTTATCTTCCAATTGATAGAGATACTCGCCTTTCGTCATCGAAGCCGTGAACAACACCTCATGCGACCAGTCATCATCCCAACGCTTTCACCCACTTGATATTTTCATGTCTTTTCTTTTCTGCGTGGTTCGGTGACTTCTCCTCAATAAACTTCGAAGAAATTTATTCGATCGTTACTAGAGGTATTGAAGTTTCAAACAAACCATGGCATCTATCACTTCGACTGCTTCACCTGGCGGTGTCACCCTTACCACGACCCCGCCGCATAAGAAGTCTAAACTAGCTGTTAAGCCCACAACGTCGCCAGGAGTATCTCTAATCTCGGGCGGCATTGCTGGAGCTGTTGAAGCTGCAACTACAGTAAGTGTTTTCAGGCTGCTTTGGTGCAGTCCTTATCATTACTCACGCTTACTTCAACCCCGCCCCAAAGTATCCCTTCGAGTTCGCAAAGACGAGAGCGCAGCTCCACTCGACAGGTGCCAAAAACCCATTCGCAGTACTGCTCCAAGTTGCTCGACAGGATGGGCCGAGAGCCATCTACACAGGCTGCTCAACACTGATCATTGTGAGACTTCTATGTTTGCTTCGCTGCGCAGTATGCTCATCTTCCATCCTTAGGGAACGACGTTCAAAGCCGGAGTACGCTTCCTGTCATTTGACTCTATCAGGAACTCCCTGATGGACGATGAGGGTCGCCTGACTCCGGCAAGGGGTATTCTAGCTGGTATGATTGCCGGATCTGTAGAAAGTGTTGTAGCGGTAACACCAACTGAGAGAGTGAAAACAGCACTGTAAGTATGATCAGCAACTCCCAAAATCAGATACACCTTGATTCAAGAACATTGATTTTGAGTGCTCGACTAATCAAAATAACAGCATTGACGATGCAAAGTCTGGTGCACGAAAGTACGCCGGTGGAACGAACGCTCTGGTCACGATGCTGAGAGAGCATGGATTCGCAGAGGTCTATCGAGGTCTCATTTCTACTACCTTGAAGCAATCCGCCACCTCAGCGGTACGCATGGGATCATACAATGTGATCAGGGAACAGTCTAAGCAGCATGGCTTACCGAACAACTCACTGATCACTTTTGGATCAGGGTCGGTTGCTGGCATTGTCACTGTCTATGCTACACAACCTTTCGACACTATCAAGACTAGAGCGCAGTCAGCTCGAGGGGCTGGAACACTGGAAGCGCTTCGTATGGTGCTTTCGGAAAGAGGCTTAAGGGGCCTGTGGAGTGGAAGCACCATGAGACTTGGTCGTCTGATTCTGAGTGGAGGAATTGTCTTCACTGTATACGAGAAAGTATCTGGCCTGTTAAGCCGTTGAGAAATCTCGGCGTGGCAAATCAAGGAATTCTGTAGGATTTCGCACCAGTTCTCTCCGTGTTATTATCAAAAGCACGCAGTCCTTGGACGAGTAGCAGCCCCACTGAAATGCAAGAAATCTTTGAAAGCTGTGCTTCTTGACCAACTCAACTTGCCTCAGCACATCCGAATCATTTCAATGTTTGCCTTACAAAATCCTGGCTAGGTCTGACACAGGCTTGTGTTTGTGTTGAAAATTTCCGGTTTCCCCAGATTCAAACCATTAGACTAGTTCAGGGCTACTAAAGGCAAGCGGGGCATTGGTTCCGGATAGGCGAGTCTGACGCAGCTGCATAAGAGCAGAGATGATGAAGTGGCGACAGAGAAGACGGGAAGAGTGGTGAACTAGACGTGGCCTGAGGATTTTTCGGCATCTCAGGAAACACTTCACATCGCTAGCATCTGTTCCGTGAAAGTAGCCTGCTGCGCCCACTCGACTGCCCGACCTCCCGCGGGAGCAGGCTGCTTACTCCCGTTCCCGTCTCACCCTAGTACGGATCCATGAACGATGTCGACGCGGGGTAGTCTGGAGTCCCCGGATTGCCAAGCTTCCCGGACAAGCTCATGGATAGATGAGCTCGCCAGTCTAAGTCGTATAAGTATAAAACAATGTCACAGGCTGGAGAGCTGGGTGGGAGTAGGAAGTCAAGACTCAAAGATATCAACCACGCTTATAAGCAATTTCAAGCTTCCACAGACTTGGATTTGACTCACTACTCAAGAGAACTACCATGATCTCCAACGATGAAGGTCGAGCGGTGGTAGAATGTGCTGGCAAAGATGCCACAAAATTTGAAGAGCTTGAAGACCCCACCAAGTCTTCTGATCCCTCCGTGGGGAAGCTCAGCCAGCAATACGACATAACTCCTAGAGATATCCAGAGCCGTTTCGAACATCTTCGTGAGTTAAGCGAAATCGATATGACAAGGCTCAACAAGAGCATTGTACGAAAGATTGATATGAGGATGATGCCTTGTATAACGCTCATGTTTCTCATGAGGCAAGTTTAACTCAGATGGCGAGGGGTCCATTACTAACACGAAATCAACTTCCCAGTTATCTCGACCGCATCAATGTTTCCAACGCAAGACTCAGTGGGATGCAGGATAACCTACATATGTCAGACACCATGTGGAACTTGGGCATCTCAACTTTTTACATCGGTTATCTTGTTGGACAATTACCTGGCAACTTGTGGTTGGCCAAGGCAAATCCAAGATGGTTTCTACCCTCAACGATGGTGGCCTGGGGAGCGGCAACCATCTGCACTCCCGCCCTCAAAAGGTCAGTGAGAAACGCAGAGAGCACGAGCTCTATGGAGTTTACTGACTCTCATCTAGTGGTGCCGGCTTCGCCGCTCTGCGCTTCTTCACCGGTCTGGCTGAAGCGCCGTTCTTTCCGGGAATCACACTGAGTAAGTGCAACATCTACCCCGATGGTCAGCTTTTGATCAGTGCTGACACGGGTTAGTGACTTCCTCCTGGTACACCAAGGAGGAGAGTCCTCTCAGAATGGCCATCTGGCACGCGGGAAACACCATATCCAACATCATCTCAGGCTTCCTTGCGGCAGGAATTCTCACTACAATGGGTGGTGTCTCGGGTCTGTATTCCTGGCAGTGGTTCTTTCTCATTGAAGGCATCGTGACGTTCCTGGTGGCTTTCTCTGCCTACGTTCTCCTCCCAGACTGGCCCCACAACACGCGGTTTCTGACTCCTGAGGAGAGAGATATGGCGCAGTACCGTATCCTGTGCTCCAATGGAGGCAAAGAGGAAGCTGCCGGAGGCACTTGGGATGGTCTCAGAGATGCTGTCAAAGACCCTTTCACCTGGATCTTCTGCCTGTTGCATTTCTCCCTGGTCACTGCCCAAAGTTTTAAAGACTTCTTCCCTTCGGTAAGCTCTCTGACTCCCCAGCCGTCAGAGTTCATTCCAGGGTTCTCATGACTGACCATGCCTAGATCGTTAACACCTTTGACTTTGGCGAACTCACAACGTACTTCATTCAAGCTCCCCCGTATGCGTTCGCATTTGTGTTTGCATATGCTGTTGCCTGGTCGTCAGGTCGGAATCAAGAGTCTTTCTGGCACATCGTCCTACCTATCATTGGCAGTGCGGCTGGCTGTGCAGTCCTGATCTCAACCATGAACATTGGAGCTCGCTACTTTGGTCTTTTCCTCCTTATTTCCGGCACATATAACGGTCTCAACCTGCAGCTGTCATGGGAAACAACTGTCGTTCCAGCCCCTCGGAGCAAGAAGGCCGCACTCATTGCAATCGCCAACTGTATCAGCCAGGTCAGTCACTGGTTCAGTCCATACTTCTGGCCGCGTTCGCAGGAGCCCTTCTACAGACTAGGCGGCGGTCTTGTACTGGTGGGTTGTGCTCTGGTTGTAACGTCAGCTGGCTTGGCGAAGTGGCGTGCGATCCGTCTGAATAAGAAACTGGATGAAGCTGAGGGTTACTCCGAGAACTCGGGGGTCGAAAGGGGTTGGAGATTTGCGTACTGACAAGGCCATGAGATTACGAACGAGTCGATATAGATTGCTGTCGTCTCGCTACATGTGTGCTCAGAGGGGTTTCGGATATACACTACTCCAGTATCAATTTCTGGATAGAATTGGGCACTGCACCCATCTACTGGTTTATACTCAAATGCGTCTGCTGAACGATAGTGCCTCTGAAGCTCACGCTGTACTTGGTGCACGAGTCTACCGCGATGCCTTGACCAACCTATGTCACAATAGGTGGCAGTTCTGAGGACTTGGTAAAATCACAAGTCAGCGGGAATGCAGTGTTGGAGACTGCCAGGTGCAGCGATCGTTGACCATGCAGGGGTTCGGCAGAACTAGGCAGGATGTCATCCCAACTGAGATTACCGTCGTATTACGGATAGCTGCATCATGTTTGCGTACAGTCGCCTAAAGCACCTCCACCTCTTGTTTTCGCTCTGATCATCCACCCATCAGGCCATGAAATACCACAGCCGTAAGCCATGTGGCTCATCGACACCACGAGTCTGAAGCTTCATGCTTTCATGCCTCCAGACCTCCCACCGTACGCCATACTATCTCATACCTGGGGATCCGGAGAAGTGACCTTCCAGGAGCTTGCAGATCTAAATACTGCCAAAGAAAAAGCCGGCTACACCAAAATCCGGAAGACATGCGAGCTCGCCAGGCAGAATGGTCTGGAGTGGGCATGGGTGGACACCTGCTGTATCGACAAATCCTCAAGTGCTGAACTCTCGGAGGCGATCAACTCAATGTTCGAGTGGTACGAGCTTTCAGCCATCTGCTTTGCTCATCTCGCGGACCTACCTGTTGAGTCTCCCACGCTATGGATTTTCGAGTCTGGCATACACAAGCGCGCGTGTCGCTGGTTCGAACGCGGGTGGACCCTTCAAGAGCTCATTGCGCCCAAGACGCTCGAGTTCTTCGACTGCGAATGGAACTCGCGCGGCTTCAAGACCGACAGCGCCGTCCTGCGACAATTGTCAGCGATGACGGGGATACATGGCAAGACTGCCCGAGTACTCAAAAACAGCGCGGCAATCACCGAAGTTTCCATTGCGGAGAGAATGTCTTGGGCGTCAAAGAGGCGGACAACCCGGGTCGAAGACATAGCCTACTGCCTGCTCGGTCTCTTCCGCGTGAACATGCCCTTGCTCTATGGAGAGGGGTCGCGAGCTTTCATGCGACTTCAGGAAGAAATTCTTAAGAACAGCACTGACATGTCTCTCTTCTGTTGGACCGCGCCGCAGGAAGCCTCGCAGCAGTACCGCGGGTTGCTAGCCCGCCATCCATCGGAATTCGCGTCATGGTACGATACAGAATCTACCTCGCGAAAGTCCATCAGCTGAGCCATGTGCGAGCAAGAGAAGGAATTCTCATCGACCAACAAGGGGATTCGAATGGATGCAACTCTGGCGAGTTTCTTTGTTCATGGCGAGAACAGAACGTGTCTAAGATGCACGCTTTTCCCAGACGACTATGTCGTCTTCATACCGCTACGATACCACCGGGACAACATCTACGTTAGAGAGCTTCCTACTACGATCATCCCTTCGCGTACGACACGGCACGAGCAGGAAACCATATACATCGCCAAGGACGTGGATGAGCGTATGTCGATCAATCTGCAGGCCAAGATGGCGGAGACTCTGAGCATCGACAGGTCCCTACTTCCGGCCAACTTCTCGTTGGAGATGATGGAGACCTGGCCCAAGAACTTGTGGCAGTCACAGAGACAGCAATATGCCCTGCCCGGATCAAAGCTATTTACTTGCATCACTTCATACAGCGTCTATTTTAAAACTGTCAAGGTCGGTGAGGTGTGTCTTATTTGCCAGCGACATTCTTCTGCTCTACAGCCTTTACGTTACGCCTTGATCCCTTTACAAGAAGCAACCGGCCGTGCCGGCATTATGTCGCAGATAAAAGATCACGAGAGCAGTGGTGCCCGGGGGCAACCCATTGAAGCCTTTAGTTTGATGGAGCAATTCATCATTGATGGCCGTCAGGCAGTGGACCTTTCGCACGGGAATCTCAGCTTCTCACTCTTCGTAACGCGATACTCCGAGACTGAGGAGAGCAACGACAAACTGTATTTGAAGGTCACTTCTTTCCAGGACCTTCTTCATCCACTGCCTATCAGAAAATCGAAGACCATATCGATCAGCGATGGCAAGGGCCCCGGTCATCGCCTCGAACGTGCTCCTCAAATCGGAGGAGATGGCGCCGTAGTACAGCCACCGAAACCATGCGACATCGCGGAAGCGGAGCGGGAGAACTCTGGATAACTCAGAGTGGGTATATATACCATTAACACATCGCTTCTTTTGAAGCACGAACTCTCTCGTACGATGCCCTGCTCTTCTGCATGCTATCACTCTAGCATGACAGCCATCCAGACCATCATCCCGAATTCATCGATCCCCTCGCACCACTTTGCGACTCGGGCTACCAGCTGGTCCTCCTGGCTTCGATCTTCAGAGTCCGCCCCCAAAGCCCTTCTAGCCTTTCGAAGATCCTGGATGCTCAGAACCTTTTCATCGCACGACTCGGCTCGTAGCCTCCTGTATCGTGCACGCCACTCGTCACTGGACACGGCTTCCCACAAATCTCTGCCGGAGGGCAGTGGCAGGAGACTATAGCCACCGCAATCCGCCGGTTCCTCTGCGTTCAGATCCACGTCCATCAAAAGCTCAATGCCAAATAGAAGGCAGATTGTCCTGCGGTCCCTTGCTATTAGCGAAACTTCTCAGATTGACTCAGTCTCTCGAAACCCACCTCCTGGTACTCTCACGAAGAATCCAGCCTCGACGATCTAGACTTAGCTTGCTGATAAGGTCGAGTTCGTAATTCAGGGCCAGGTGCAGCGACCTGGCTAGCAGCTGCTCTGGTTAGCAATAACACTTGGCTATCTCCTGGCTTCTTACATTGGGTACCACTAGTAGCGCTTTGATGTTGCTTTCTTGTATTGATTGGAGGTCATTTGCCTGAAGCAGCAGATATATAACCACGGCCTGGAGAGCGTGTAACATCTGTTCGCTGTTATAAGAAGAATGCTGTTCAACCTCATGTTAACTAGTGAGATGACAACTCGTGGCAAAGCGCTGACCTCTCACCTCTTGCCGGATCCTGCCTACTTCACTGTATATACTCCTCCAAACAAAAGCCGCGCTTCCCGGAGTCCTCTGGTAAAAGCTTTGCACGAGGTTGCAGCAGATGGCTAGCGGCTCTGGAAGACACTGGTGAAGCTCCTTGCCACAACATCCAACTATTGACTCAGATCCATCAATGGCGCAGGGTGGGAATATGAAAGGCGGCATCCGGCCACCTTTGATCATCATCTTGGGATAAGATAAGATCTGGCCGAGGAGGACTCTGGCTGTGAAGCATGTTGCCACCGTTTTAGTAATTCGCGGGACGAGGGGTTTGTCTTGATAGAATGGCCGGAGTTTTCTTGCCGGACAATCCCTGAAAGCCCTGTGTAACTGGATTTCACTTGAAGGATGTTCGTGACCTTGATATTCCGTGTCCTCCATGACGCCTAAATCACCAAGGTCCTCTGGTCCGAATAGGCTCGAGTTACTTCGCTGCCACGGAACTCCGGCACCGCCAAGCATCGTCTGGCGAAGTTGAGGCGAGTCGAAGCTCAAGGAGAAGGGATTTGGACTTAGGAGTTGTCTCTGTAAAATAGGGTCAGAGTCTAAAGGGATCGTCGCAATTTCCGTTGACAAGAGGTTCGACCAGTCCATCGACGGTTCACGTTCGGGCCGCGGGTGGTCCCCCGGAAGCAGGCCGTCTCTCTCGATGCGGATCAGTGACTCCGTGCCATTGGGCAGCTGATCAAGTGCTCCGTGAATACCGCGGTCGGCGATTGTCTCGGCCGGACGCAGTGATCGGTATCCAGCTGATTGCTTGGGGACGTGGTCGTATCTACACCTCAAATCCCTTTCCTCACAGCGCCGGCATGGTGTCCCGAGCGAACACCTCGCCTTACTGGTCCGGCACAGAACGCAAGACTTTTTCCGGCTGGCAGCCAACGTCATCTCGAGTAAAACGCCAGAGATATGAATTGAATCAACCATTAAGCAAAATGACGAGGTCAAGTTTGCGCGTAGAATCTAGGTTCAGCTGGACCTGGTTCAATCTCGGGGTTTGTCATCACTCCGCGGAGTTCCAGCCAATCACTGCTGACCGGCTCGCCGTGTCCGGAAGCCACCCCACTACTCCGCTCCGCGGGAATGACAATGTTACCCCGGGCACAATCGTACGTTTGGATGATAGACTTCGGGACGAGGCGACATCTCCGCCATGTCGCGGTGTGAAGCCACGCAGTTTCATGTTCGGAAATCCGACAAATCGGGCATCCAGGCGAGAAGGCGCTGAATCAACTGCATCAGGCCCGCCGGCGACCGCTTACATGAGCCGCCAGATGTTATTGGTAGGTTGTCTGGACAAAGATGGATGAGTTCTTGGTAGATATAAAGAACGATGCCGTGATAATCAAGGCCCTGAATATTCAGCATTGCAATCTCATTCACTGAACAGAGGACTTACACCAAACTCATCTTTCATTCCACCTAAACTCCCAACCAGCGATCATGGCCCCCATCAGAGTAGGCATCATCGGACTCTCCGCAAAGGAGGCAGTCATGGGCCCTGGCGCCTGGGCCTCCATCGCCATCCTCCCCTCCTTCAAGAATTCGCTACACTACGAGATTGTCGCCCTCTGCAACTCGTCCGCGGAAGCAGCCCGCCGCTCCATCGAGATGCATAAGCTTCCGAGCACGACCAAAGCATACGGCGACGTCGAGCAGCTGGCCAGCGACCCGGATGTGGACCTCGTCGTCGTAAGCGTCGTCGTGACCAAGCACCTCGCCGTCACCCTCCCCGCGCTCGCCAACAGGAAGCAAGTCTTTGTCGAGTGGCCCCTTGGCGCCTCGGCGCAGGAGGCGGAACAGCTCACGCAGCTGGCCAAGTCAGACGGACTCAAGACCATTGTGGGTCTCCAGGGTCGCTCTGACGCTCTCACTCTCAAGCTGAGGGAGATAATTCAGAGTGGGGAGATTGGTGAGATCAAGCACACTTCTGTCGCCGGCACTCTCCCATACTTTCCTCCCAACTTCTGGGTGGAGGGTGCGGAGTACTATCTCGATATCAAAACCGGAGGTAACGCATTCCACATCGGCTTTGGGCATTGTAAGTTACTCCATCTCGGTTGGGAGATTCTGATGAAGTTGGTAATATCGAAGGCTGATATTCTTGGAACATAGTCTTGGACTCATTCACAAACGTTGTTGGCGACTTCGATCTCAGCAGCCTGTCGTCAGTTCTAAAGAGCGACGTCGACTCCGTCCCCCTATACAAAGCCGACAGAAGCAGCGTGATCGACCCAGCGTACCCAAAGTCCTCTCCCGATCACATCTTGGTCCAAGGCGTGCTGCAAAACGGGGCAGTGGCCTCGATTGCCTGCCGAACCACCCCGGTCACGGCCGGTGAGGTCGGTGCTCGCTGGATCATCAGCGGCACCAAGGGGGAAATCGAGGCCGTCTGGGACGGAGGCCAGTGGCAGATCCACAGCACCAGAAAGCAACTCAAGTACAAGTTAGTCGGAGGAGAAGAACAAAAGGTCATTCTCGAGACCGGCAAGCTCCCTGACGGAGTCGAGGTTTCGGCCGCGGGACTGAACACGCTCCTCGTTTTTGACGCCTACGCCAAAGGCGATACTTCACGGTATGCGGACTTTGAGACAGCTCTGAAGAACCATGTGCTTTTGGAGACGATTTTGAAGAAGTCGGGGTACAAGTATTGAGAAGTGAGCTGCTCATGTTCAATCCAGCAGGTGGGCACGATAGTATGTAGTTGATAGACACCTAAACATCTATGCGGTAGTCTCACATAATTCTCTTCTCAGATATACATTTCAGTTTTGAGTTGGTACCTTTCATGGTCGATGTCGTGCGTCGCAAGTGATTTCTAGACCAGCCGCCGGTGGACCGCAGCAAAAGTTCGGCACCGACGCCGACGCCGGCGTTGACGCCCGAAACGTGGATCCCGTGACAAATCTCCTCCGAAGATCTGACTCGGAGCAGCTGCCGAGACTTCACGACTTCATTCGCAGCGCCCAACAAATCACAGTCGGCGTTTCTTTAATACTTGCGATTCCGATTGAAGGTAATTGTGTTTGCTCGTCCCGTAGGATACCAAATCAAAGTAAGACAGACGTCTATCACCCAAAATGAGAGAAGAAGACTTGCAAGGTCAGCCCAACATACCCAACAACACGTGGTTCATAGACTTATACCCGAAACAGGATCCGGGGGCGCGATCGCCAGTGCGCCAGGAGGAGCAACACCTCCAAAGGCAGACAAACCCAAACATATCGCCATCCTAGACACCGACGTAATGGTCACAGCCGTCCAAACCCTCTACGGACAATACTACAGCGCCCAATACATCAAACGCCTCACCGCCGCCGCAACCCGCGTCGGAGCCTCCCACCTCGCCACCTTCACGACCTGGGACGTCGTCGCAGGCCACTACCCGAGCCCAGCCGACGTCGACGCCATACTCATCACGGGCTCCATCGCCGCCGCCTACGACACGGACCCCTGGGTCCTCCGCCTCGGCGACTTCATCCGGCGCGTCTACGAGCACCACCCCACCGTCCGCATCTTTGGCACCTGCTTCGGCCACCAGCTCATCGGCAAAGCCCTCCTCGAGCCCCACGGCGCCGTCGTGGAAAAGGACCCCAACGGCTACGAGTTTGGCGTCCAGACCATCTCGTTGAACCCGAAACTCGTAGAGGACTTTCCCTGCCTGGCCGCTCTTGCGCCCACGACAAGAACGACAGAGTCAGAACAGGACGCCGGCTCTTCATCATCGCCACCCCCTCACGGTCTCCGGCTACAAATGTGCCACGGCGACCACGTAGCCCTCGCCCCGCCACCGAACCCACCTCTTCCAGGAACCTGGCAAAACATCGGCGGCAGCGCGCACTGCAGGGTCCAGGGTCTGTACGAGCCCTCTCGCGTCCTCACGATCCAGCCCCATTTCGAGTGCGACCAGGTCATCATGGAAGAGACCATTAAGCACTTTTACACGCCCGCCAAGGGGTTCTCGCCAGAGTTTCTGCAGCGGGCGTTTGACGCGACGAGGAGGGAGGACGACGCGGGTGTTGCTGCGGAGTGGGTGTTTCGATTCTTGGTTGGTATCTGATGCCCCGGGGGTGGGCGTTTTTTTCTTTCTAAAGGGGGACTTCTTGACTTAAAAGGAGAAAAAAAAACTCATTATATCACGAGTGATGTTAGTATGATTGCCTCTCGATAGCGGTGGGCAGTGGCGGATGGCAAGGTTGTGGTTCAGGGGGTTTTGATAGAGCTCTGTCATATGCGCGGCCTCAGTTGCCTTGTATGGACCGTATGACTGTACCCACACCAACCATCACCAGGATCACAGAATACTCCAGTAGTCTTCTAAAGGCTCCATTCTTTTCAGTAGGACTTGGTGCCTGTGAAAGAATCTCGTTCTTGAAGTGAAGCAAACAGTCAGCTGGCACTCAACTTCTCAGTCTTCCTAGACCCTTTTCCGAATATCTTCAACCACATACGACCATACCCATTGGAAAATTCGGGATCCCGTCCGCTCTCCCATAGACAAGCTAATGAGGGCCGGATTAGTAGTTGGGTCGGTGACGACCAGCGAATACCTGGTGTTGTATGTCTTCTTTCCTTTTGCTTCTTTTGCTGAAGCAGGTCGGTGTCAATAGTCTGGTGGGACACCGCTTTTTGCTCTTCCAGATCCCTTCTTCACTGGAAGCACATTCAGAAACACAACACTAGAGACGGGAACGGATTCCAGGTCTCAGAAGAACTACGGGCACCAAAAGCAATGTGAAGCTCCAGACTCAAATGACTTTAAGGTCGATTGGCTGTAAGTATTAGGCCGCCCTTGATACTGGGCAACGGGAGTGTGTGAGCAAGTAAGTAGGAGTCCAGGGATCGTGTACCTAAGCTCAGCCAAGAGAATGCCAGCGAGATTGAATAGAGCTTTAATTGCTGATCAGACTTTACTTGATGAGCCGAATCGCCTGCGTCGTCTCCTGAGTCGTTTAGAGCCTTTCTCAGTAACTATAAAACCGCGATTTTCTTCCTCGTTGCGAAGCCTTTCGAGCAAAAGACCTTTCCAGCTTTGCCCCTCTTTTTGATCCATGAGCACATGTCTGAGTTCGCTTTGTCTAACGGGCAAGGGAATACGAGTCTTCAGGAAGTCGCGCAGAGCAAGATAGTCCTGGCGCCTCCGGCTTGCGAACTTGGCCAGGTGTTTCTCAAGACGAAGCAAATGGAGTCGGCGCTCATCCTCTTCCCTAGAGGTCGGAGTTAATCAGCTATCCTTCTCAAATTCCGTAATGGGGTGCGTGTTGTATCCATGGGGAGGGCACCTCTAATATATTGCACCCCCTCATGGATACAACACCCAGTGTCCCAAGCACTTACAGCTCAAGTGTGCCATATGCATCTGGTAGTCTCATCAGACCGTGGAGGTCCCGGATAGAATGCGCTTTCGCAAACACCAACCAGGATTGAAATCGAGGATGTGTCATAATCCGCGCCACAGAGTTGAACTCGCCAGCAAGTTCTTCGTTTGGAATGGCTCTGTGTAAATTTATGTGGCAGGGAAGGCAAAGTTCCAGCAACTCGTTCATCTCTTTAATAGTGAATCGGTCGCGATCACGTTGACTTCTCGGAATGACATGGTGTCTTTGGACTTTATGAGACTCCCGCTCACAGAGGTCACAAAACCCTTGTACATTATGGCCTTCATCCAGATGTGAAACAAGTCCTCTCAGCCAGTAGAGCCAATCCCGGATATAGTTCACTTCATGATGGTGTTCAACTGTCTCCGTAGACAGTTCTTTCAGGATATCATCAAAATCCCGCAAGGCTTCCTTGGCTAGATTAGTAGGGCGACTTTGTTTCATTGCCTGGAAATTAGCATATTTTTCCCTGAGACGTTCTTCGGGGCCAGGTCCTCCTTCGCGAATTAGTTCTTTTATACGGCGTTCTAGCGTGCGAAACTCTGCAGCGCGACGTTCATCTGCCTGACGTGCTTTTTTGTGAGCGCGACGTTCTTCTTCGCGGAGTACTTCCACACGCCTTTCTGCACTGCGAAGTTTTTTGATGCGACGCTCCTCTGTGCGTAATTCTTGCTCTTTTATGCGGCGTTCCTCTGCGTGACGTTCTCTTCCGCGGCGTTCTTCTGAATACCGGTCTATTGCGCTACGCTCTCTCATATACTCTTTTATGTGATGTTGTTCTGTGAGACGTTGGTCTGCGGAAACGATGTCTGAATGACATGTTCGCCCTTCCTTGATGGTAGCATGCTCTTGCTCATTGATGTCCCGAGGCACCGGTTCCACAGGCTCCTGGAGCAGGACGTATAGCGCTTGCTGTCTGGACATTATCGTCATATCCTCTTGAACTGCTGGCTGGTATTGGTCTGGATGTCGTTGCGTTGATGAGTCTCTGGACTCTGCTTCCCCGGGGCTGAGCCCGGGTGCATCCCTAGTCGGGACTCTCCTCTTACGCCTCTGGTGCGAGAGTCTTTCGATGAGGGCGGCGGCCTCTGCCTGGGTGATAAATCCGGGTCCTGCGCGGGGGGAGAGAGCTGGGATATCTTCGGCTTTTGAGGCATTGGGTTCGGGGGGCCTCGAAGGCAGAGGTAGGATATCCTCATAAAAGTCTGGTGTTGGTTTGGGGTATACATTAGTACCGTATGTAGTGTCCCACTCAGAAGAAACGTAAGCGGATGATGAAGTGGTATCGTCAGCGGTGCTACGGGATGGCGCCGGAGCATCTGCTTCCTCTTCGCTGCCTGTCATCATGGTGATCTCAGGATCGCTCCTCTCGATATCTTCGAAAAAGTTTCCCCAGCTCCCAGTTCCCGATCTTGCAGCGCTCCTGGGCCCGCTTCTCCGAGATCTGGTTCTAGGAACCGCTCTGGTCCTTTCTTTCCCCCGTTTGCTGGTCGATACAGACGCCGCGTTCTGTCGATGTTGTGGATCTGACAAGACAGGTTGTTCTATTAAAACCTCGGGTGGCACCTCTTTTGCCCCCACCTCTTCTGAATTGTCGCCAACATCCTTTGACAGAGAAGTCTCCAGACCCAGCTCCAGGTTTCCCTCAACGACAGGATCGACGTTCGACCGATGTCCATCGTGCACGACCAGCCCCCCGTCGACAACGTGCCCAGAAGCTGGCGCACCCTGCTCCTGATGAAACCCGCCCCATTTCCCAGCCCTCGCCTGCGCAGTAAGCGAGTTGCGCTTCCACCGCGGCGCCGGTGCGCCAGCCCTCGGTCTCGACAGCAACTTCGGCTTGGGTGGCGGGTTCGGATTCGGTGCGGGGCCTTGGACCTGTAGCGCGTGAAAGGCGCCCCATTGTGCCGACGCCGGTGGTGAGGGGTTCCGTTTCGCGCTCTTGGCTTTTCCCGTTGACGATAGCGCTGTTGTCGCTTTTGATGATGATGATGTCGAGCCAGAAGCGTGCCCTTTCACTCCTGTTGGCGCGGGGCCCTTCTTGACGACCTTTGGGATTGGCCGGGCTTTGGCGATCTTGCTACCAAAGGAGCCCCAGGTTGACGGAGCCTTTGGCCTTTCCGGTGGCTGAAGAGATACCACTTGAGACTCAGAAGCTCCAGCTTGGGTGGCTCCCCCCTTGCTGTGCTCGACAATGACGGGGCCACTGCCAGGCAGCGTCAAGCGGGAGTGGTGCATGCCGTCTTCTGATGGACGAGGCGCCTCTGCACCACACAGGGAGCAGGAGCACGTGAAGAACCGGGCATACGTGCCATGATTTGATTGAATCTGGTGAGAATGTCAGTAACTATTCCGCTTTTACGTGCTTGAAGTTCCTCAATGGCTCAATATCAAACCAGCATACCTGTTCGACGCGTGCTAGGCTTCGTGACGTGATGGATCGGGCCACCGTTGACAAGATGTGCATCTTTACCGGATTGGCAGCGTTTCACAATGGAAAATGGCCGGCTGCATGCATTGAGAGACAGAGAAAATGAATGAGTCCCGGCGAAGTATCATGGCCGCCACGTGAGGTGTACAAGGATTTGGCTTGCTGAACAGTGTTCGATTGGTATTTCCTTATTCGCATGTCGTCGGTAAATCGCTGTTACAGTCAGTGGTCGTATTGCGCACGGTGTTTGTACTGTGTTTGCCCTCAGGCATGAAGTTTTGCTCCTAGCCTCGACAACTTCGAATGACTGTATGGCCTCTATGAAGTTGGCAAGATCATGGACTACGATTTGGTTCAAGTCATTCCGACAAGTCTCATCCTACAGCATGGTTCTCATGGCTCTACTTGTCACCCGCTAGCCGCTGTACAAAGTGTAATCTTGAATTAAACAATCCAACAACGCGGGACACCCCGTCATCAAAGAGAAGTCGGCAACTTCTCAGGTGAACCAATGGTATTATACATCTGAAACTTTCTTGGGTGCCTTTCCATTTACAACGTCATCATCAAACTCCATCCTAATCCCATTCCCAAATGCCATCCCTTGCCTAACTGAGGACAACTACTACCGGTGAGGCAAAGTCCACTCGCGCTTGCGCTTGACACCCGCAACACGTCCAATGCGATCCTAGTACACGGGCGTATTGTCCGCGTCGGCCAGCCACAAGGTTGCCAAGTCTCTTGACAGGCCCAAGCGAAGTATACGAAGCACGTCGTCGGCCGACGCACCAGCCGTGAGTCCCGATCTCCAATCCCAGCCGCGCTTCGTTTTGGCGAGAGAAGAACCACTGCCGCTGCCACCGCTGATGGACCGGTGAAGCTGGCTGGCTAACATGGAGCTTCCGCTGAGCATGTAGCTTCCGCTAAGCGAGCTGGTGCTCTTGCGCATCAAGTCTGCAGGCGTTGAGCCCTTCATGCCCGGCGTCGAGGCCAGAACAAGCTTGAAGAACTCGTCTGCTGCATTGAAGATAGTGGAGTTGACTGTCTGTATATCCTCAACGGCCTTGAGGAGCGTGTCCATCTGGTCGAGCGTGATGACCGAAGGGTTTTGGTTGACAAAGGGTAAAGCCTCGCCCAACAGAGCGAGGATGAAGTCCTCACTGACAACTGCGTCGCGGGTTTCGTCGTAAAGGCCTCCCCGAATGTTGTCATCTGAGCTAGCGATGACTGCAACAAGGGCGGAGGCGGCTTGCTTCCGGAGACTGGCAGACTTGTAAGGTGACATATCAGCAAGTCCATCAGTGTCACGAAGTTCGTAGAATTTCCGGAGCGTGGCGTAACCACTCAGCATCCGCCCGAGGAGATTCGCTGCCTCGAGATCTTGTTTGGCATACTTTTCGAGCGTTTGACTGCGCTCGTTCAGAAGTCGGTAGAGGTGGTCGTCCAGATCGTTGGCTGGGGGATAGACCGTGGAGTGGAGCAAAGAGTACGACATAAGGAGGTTGAGCACCTCGCGGACCTTTCCGGGTCTATGAGCCAGAGCGTAGTACCAAAGAGCCTCTCCGTATCTGTGGGAGTCTTTGCCGAGAATATCTGCGTAGGTCTAGAAACGGTTAGCTTGGTGATAAGCACAGTTCGATGCGATCTGCACGTACCTCTGCGGTCTCTTCGGCATAGGAAATCATGCCGAGATCGTTCAGAATTCTCCAGACCTTATCCACAGTGGCTCCTTGTTCAGAATCAAGCTGGTCTAGGATATCCCGAAGCAATTCTCCGACCATATCCTCTGACTTCGCAGCCGAATCCATGCGACCAAGGACCTGTATCGCCATCTCCCAACCGCTGCGATCTTCCGAAAGACTCTCGATCCCGGCAAGTTCGCGCGCGTAATGTGTAAGCGTAGTGTCTTTGATGCCCTCCACATCATCGGCGGTCTGAGGAGCCACTCCCAACATCTCCAGATCCTCCATGTCCAGACTCTCCATCGTGATCAAGTTAGGCTGCTCGGGCTTAGGTAGCCACTGACCGAGCGAGGCAAGTTCTGCCACTGAAGAAGCAATGGGAAGCGACCATGCTCGAAGGATTCCGATGACAGCCGCGAAGTTTGACTCGAAAGCCGAAGCAATGGCAACTTCAACAGGGTTCATAGAGTTGAAGTGGAAGTCAGACTCAACCGCCGTGTGGAAAGCCAGCGACAGGCGTTCGAAATAGGTCTCCGGGGTAGAAGGCGTAGCTGTCATGCGGAGGCCGTGAGAGCGAGACATGCGCAGGCTCTTCTGCTGTCCTCTGCCTTCCTCCCACCATCCAAAGAGACCAATCGTGGCTTCACACCAGTCCTGCGCTGTATCCAGGATAGCCTCTGGTGTTCCCATGATAATCTGGTAAATGGTCTGGAGATGTTCGTAGATGTCCCATGGAACCTGGCCTTCCGCTTTCCGCACAAGACCGGCCAAGGAGCCTCTTCCGTACGAGCTGTCGTCACTATCGCCAGCGAAGAGGTTCTTGTCCTTGCCCTCCGCAAATCGCTGAAGCTTGTCCAAGGAGCCCTTCGTCTGGATGCGGTACAGCGTCCAATCGCTGCTGAAGATATCCCAGTTGCCCTTGGTGATTGGGCACATGTCGAGTGCCTCGCACGCAATGCCGACAGCACGTTGTAGGTTATCGAGAGCTTTGCCGGAGTAAGCGAAATCGGCCCTGGGTCCCTTCTTGACGGACTCCCACCCAGCATTCCTCAATAGCTTTGATGCAAGATCGACATTGCCACGGATGAGAGCGCTGCGAAGTGTCGGCCAGAAGAGACTATGGCAAGCTGGACTCGGCCTGTGATTCATGACAATCTCGAACTGCTCGGGGTAGATGTTGTGGTTTTCCTCGATCCATCGGAACAGAACGTAAGGCAGTGGCGGCGCTTCGGTATCGACAGTGCCTTGGTTAGCGAAACGAGTGTGGTGCATCTGAAGCACCAACTGGGCAACGTAGGCGGCCTTCGTGAACGGCTCACTTTCGGGGCCGGGGCCAATCTCGGCAATGTGCTCTCCCTCTGGCATAGGTAAACTGTCGGCAAAGTCATTCCAGAGGTCCACCAGAGGGTAAACAATGTTGGCGAGCGAGACGTCTAGCTGATCGGGGTCCTCCTGCGCACCAATTCCTTCGTTGTAAAGCTGGTTGATCAAGTCTTCCGTCTTCAAGACAACGCCTGACGACTCGTTGATCTGAGCCATGCCCAGTTCCTTGTATAGGTCCTTTGCGATTGCGGAGAACTTGAATTCTGTCCGTCTGTTGCCCGACGAGCGACGCATGGACGACGCACGGAAAATATCCTGGGCCTCCCTGCGCATTCGCTCCGTTGCCGCTGGCGTATTGAGCAGTAAAAGATCCGACTCCTCGCCGCCTATGCCGCCTTCGCCCTCGTCTGAGTAGGTCAGTTCATCGTCGTTACGGGCGCTGTGCCGCAAGTTCAAAAATATGTCGTCGTCATCCTGGACCTCTTCGTCGTCGGCCTCAGCGTCTCCGTCTTCCTCTCCAATATCGGCTTCGAGGTATCGCTCCATCTCCGCGTCGGCGGCATCGCGTTCGTCGTACTCCTCATCGTCCTCGTCTTCTTCCTCTTCCTCCGAGCTGTCGGGTATCATATACCTGCCAGTCCGGTTATCGTAGGTGACCTCGCTCTTTCCCGCGCCAAGTTCCCGGCTTAGTGCCGACGGCTGTCTCGTCGTAGGTTTGGCGCTCTGCAGAATCGACCGGCCAAGTGGTTGCGCTGAAGCAGAGTCGCTTCTGCCAAAGAGGTTCTTGCTGGGCCCATTTGAACTTGCACCGCCGAATCCAAAGGGCTTCTGCGCAGTGACTCCCTGCAACAAGGAGCTTCCGAGGTAGGACTCGGAGGGAGCACCTTGGGGTGTGAAGGAAGCAGCGGACGAGGGTGGAGGACCGGCTGGCGTGGTTGACGGGTTTTCGCCGAAGGGATAGTATGACTTCTTCTGTGGAGTCTGACCGGGCGTCGACGGCGGTGAGCTATCGAAGGTTGAGTCGTCGAAGGAGAATTTGTTAGGCATGATGTCGGTGATGGAGTGGGCGACCTCAGGTCACCCGGATGAGGCTAGTCGTCGCAAAGTTGTGTTGACCGGCGGCAGCGAAATTTCTAGGTATTCGGCACTGCAGAAATTTGATGCGTCGCTGTCGTTTGATGTGCGAAAGTCGTCGAGGCTAATTGGGCTGACTGGCAGGTCGCAGGCGACAAGGCTGAAGAGCTGAGTTGTGGTGTTTGGCAGGACGCGCTTTTGCTCGATAATTTTTGGAGGTTCGCGATGCTTGGCCAGTCAACGCGGAAGAAGCCGACGTCTTGGCCCCACCACCGAGTCGCTCTGTGTTTTTAGGAGTGGCCCGAGCTCCCTGGCCTAGTGCCGCTGACACACCACCTAACGGGGCTTCGAGATGTATGTACGTAGTATGTACTTTGTACCTTTGGAAAGAACCAAGATCCTGTTAAAGCTTCCCGGCGTTCAAACTTCTGAAGCAGTAACCAAACACGATTCCTTCGTCACCTTGTTGGAGAATAATTTTTTAAGGTTCAGACGTCTCACAGCCATGCGACCGTGATGCCATTGTGATGTCTCTTTTTCCGGGGTAAACACACACCATTGAAGCCAAGTTGTTTCCCCTCTTTTGGCTGTCAACCTGGTCTTCCATCTCTTCCCATACTTTCTTTCCAATGGATCCATTGATTATCTTTTACCTGAGAGGATTGTTCATCCATTCTTTTTGACTTGTATCTCTCTTCGTCGAGTCCCTATCCGCGGGCAACTAGGAAGTTTTCTTTTTACCTTATCTAAGCCGTCCCGGAGCTCCCCTCGTCTTCCTCCGTGTTACGGCGTTCTAGCCCGGCAAGCCGATTAGATAGGGTAGAGCTGCCAAAGGCAGTAAAGAAACTGCTTGAAACCTCCGGGCCCGGACATAAATCGGGCTCTGGACGTGCGGGCCCTAAGAAAAGCGCTGTACTGCTCAACGCCATCTTGGCAACCACGGAAAGTCATCCCTCA